ATGGGGGTGCCAATAGGTATCTGCTCGTGATTAGGGTCGAGTAGATCTGTGATAAGGCCCGTGGCGGTTCCTTGTCTTGCATACAGAGGTGTTCAAACGATGTTGGGTCCCTCAGGAGGGATGGTTTCTGAGGGATGGATCGGGCGTATTGTGTCATTTGCGCTCTCTGGAGTGTGTGTATGAAGGTAAGAGGTCTATCTGGGAATAGTTCGTGCAGTGGTCGAATGTCAAAGGGGTTCTGGAGGATGTCCTTCATTCGGATGATTGGCTTGTGTCCTATTGGGTGCGGGGTTGGGCCCATGTCCCCTGCCGGGAAGTCTGGGTTGCCTCTCAAGGGGAGAAGTGGGCCGGGGTCTGTCGTCAGATATTGTTTCGCGTCCTGTCTGTGCCAGACTTGCATGGTGGCCGCCACGAATGGGTTGTTGATGTGTTTGTGTTTGTATGTTGCTTTTGGGATCCAGGGTAGCGTCCTGAGGTCGCAGTTGGTCGTGTCTGATTCCAGTTGGGTCCACAATTTCGTGCCGCTGGCCACCGTCCAACTGATGATTCTCGTGAGGTGTGCCGCTTGGTAGTACTTTTCGAAGTCCGGTAGTGCCAGTCCCCCACGGAGTTTGGGCAGGATTAGTTGGGCATGTGCTACTCGGGGGGACTTGCCCTTCCATATGAATTTGCGGACTTCCGTTTTCAGTGCCGTGAAAAATGATGGTGGGGCTGTTATTGGAACTGTTTGAAATATGAACAATAGTTTGGGGAGCAGCGTCATTTTGACCGCGTTTACCCTTCCTAGCCATGATATGTAGTAGGAGTTCCAGTTGTGTAGTTCCTCCGTCGCCTTTTTTAGTATTGGGAGGTAGTTTTGCGCATATAGGTACGCTGGGTTGGGCGTGAGCCAGACCCCCAGGTATCGCATTCTGTGGTCGCACCAGCGGTATGGATGTTGTCTCTGGATCGTTGTTCTCAGCGCGTGGTTGACTGTTAGGTTTAGGATCTCCGACTTCGAGTGGTTGATTTGGAGATTTGAAAGTTGGCCGTATAATTCGAATTCTGTCTGTATGGCCTGGAGGGAGGTCTCTGGGTTCGTGACCACAAACAATAGGTCGTCCGCGTATGCCAGGATTTTGTGGTGCATGTTTCCGATCCTGATTCCTTGTATGTCTGCGTTCTGTCGGATCTTATTGAGGAAGGGCTCTAGCGTCATTGCAAATAGTAAGGGTGAGAGCGGGCATCCTTGCCTGGTTCCGTTGAGGATGTGGAACGGGTCTGATAGTGCACCGTTGATCCTGATCCGCGCTGTCGGGTTCGTGTAGAGCGCCGTCACCCAGTTGAGGTATCTCGCCCCTATGCCGAATTGTCGCAGTGTTTCAAACATCGTGTCCCAGTCCACTCTGTCGAACGCTTTTTCCGCGTCTGTTGACAGGAGTAGTACCGGTGTCTTTTGCGTTTTGGCGTGGGCTATGATGTTCAGGGCCCGGATGGTGTTGTCCCTCACTTCCCTGCCTGGGATGAATCCTGTTTGGTCTGGGTGGATTGATGCGGGGAGCAGTGGCGCCAGTCTGGTCGCGAGGATGCTTGCGAGAAGCTTGAGGTCCGTGTTTAACACAGATATCGGGCGGTAGCTGGGGCACAGTGTTGGATCCTTCCCTTCCTTCGGGAGTAGGGTGATGTTGGCTGAGGTGAATTGGGCCGTCGGTGTGGCCCCATCTTGGATGGAATTAAGTGCCGCCAGGAGTTTCGGTGTCGTAACGTGTGTTAATGTTTTGTAATACTGGAGGGGAAGGCCGTCCGGTCCTGGTGCTCTGCCTGTTTTCGCTCTTTTGATGGCGTACGCTATTTCTTCTGGTGTTATAGGTGCTTCTAATGCTTCTCGTGCTATGTCACCTATGTCGGGCACGTTCGCGGAGTCCAGGTATACCCTGATATTTTCAATGATGTTTGTCCGTGGGGCTCCTGGGGCTGCTTGGCGGAGGTTATATAGGTTCTGGTAATAGGCTCGGAATGCTGCGGATATGTGGTCTGGCCGGTGTTTGAGTTGCTGTCTTGCGTCCTTGATCTTTGGGATGTAGAGTTGGGTCCTGCGTTGTTTGAGGAGGTTTGCTAGTAGCCTCCCGCATTTGTCCCCGTGTTCATGTATTATGTGTTTGTAGTGTTGGTATGAGCGTTGTATTGAGCGATTGAGATGTGTGGTGAGTTGACCTCTTTTGGTTACCAGGTCCCCATACGTTGTCGCGTCCAGGGTGCGTTTATGTCTTGCCTCCAGGGCTGCTATGTCCCGGCTGAGGTCGAGGATCGCTTGTATCGCTGTCTTCTTGCGGGATGCGCTGATTGCGATAATCTGGCCGCGGATCACAGTTTTGTGCGCCTCCCAACATGTCAGTGGCGTCACGTCGTCGGTTTTGTTTTCCTCGAAGTATGTTCGTATGGAGTCGCTGATTTTATCTACCACTGTCGTGTCAGATAGGAGCGATTCGTTCAGCCGCCACGACATTTGTTTGGGTCTAAACAGCGGCGACTTCATCCGTATGCGGATCGGGCAATGGTCCGACCATGTCATCGGTAGGATCTCTGCGGTGGTGAGCAGGGTCAAGTTTTGATGTGGTGTGAGGAAGTAGTCGAGCCTTGTGTATGTTGCGTGGGTCCTTGAGTAGAAGGTGTAGTCGCGGTCCGTTGGGTGCAAAGCCCGCCAGCAGTCCGCCAATTGGTGGTGGTGGAGGAGGCGCAGTGTATTCGCGTGTCTGTTGTGTGGGGTTGCGCCTTGCGGGGAAGTGGAATCTTGGTCCGGGTGTAGTGCCAGATTCAGATCCCCACCGATTATTAGGGTGCCTTCTGTGAATTTCATCAAGGTGTTCAGTGCGCGTCCAAGGAATTGGTGTTGTTTTGTGTTCGGGGCATACACGTTGGCGAATGTGTATGTTTGGTCCAGGATTGTGCCTTTGGTGAAAATGTATCTACCTTGTTTGCACCTGATGGTAGCTTTCTCCGCGTAGGGGAGATGTCTGGAGAAAAGAATGCCTACTCCTCGCGTGCGCTTTACGGGGTTGTTACTGAAGTATCCTACTTGGAAGTTTCGGTCTTTCAGGGCTGGTGCTCTACCCTCTTGGAAGTGGGTTTCTTGCAGGAAGGCTACCAACGCCTTGTAGTGTTTTAGGTCTCGTAGTAGTCTCGTCCGTTTCTCCCTGGTGTTCAGTCCGTGCACGTTGTACGAGACGATGTTCAGGTCCTCACGCGCGAATCCGTTTGGCCCCGGGGCCGGCATACCGTGGGCGGCCAGGGGGGACTAGTGGGTGTAGCTGAGGGTGGTGGGTGGTGTTGGGCTCGTAGGTGTTTGAATGGAATGTGTCGTGTAGTTGTGTTTGCGTGTGGATTTTGTTTCTGCTCTGTGTGTGTATACACTGCCTTTGGAGGTCAGTGTCCGCTAAGGGTAATGGACAATTAACCCGTCGGTACGACTGCTTGTCCGGCCTATCGGAGGGACCGAGTCGACTCTGGGGTGTGTGTATACCCTTCCTTGAAGGGTGCCGTGTGTCCTGGTCCTAAGGGGGGGTCGGGCTGTGTGTCGGTGCTCGCCCTGCCTGGTCTGTATATGTGTATTGGAGTATGGTGTGGTGTCCCGTCTCTGTAGTGGCTATGTGATCGGTGCATCCGCTCATTCTCGCGGTGCGTGGGTGCGTCGTTTAGTGTATTTTGTGCGTGGTGGTGTTGTTGCTGAGCAGCCTTATGGCGCTCTGATGTGGTGATCGTCCCGTCAGCCTATTCGCGGGCGCGGTTCTGCTGGGGGGGCCCATATTTCGTGAGCTTTGCGATGTTGTTTGGGGGTCGGTCGTGTGCCTTGGTGAGTTGGTTGTTCTCCTCGGTCTGGTTGGGTCTCGGGGTGGCTATCCCGTGGGTCTGTTCTAGGGGTACTATAGCGTTCTCTGTGTAGCGTCTCTAATACTGGTATTTTGAGGCCTGGGAGCGTAATGTGGCGGTTAATATCTTTATGATGACTTAGTGTATCTCTGTGTCATATCTTGTAGTAGGTTCGTCTATCTAGCTAGAGCGAGCGTTAGTCATGGGGTACTGCTGGCGCCGCGGCTGTGTGCGCTTAGGCGCTGTATGCGCATGGCTGGTGTAGTGTGCGTGTAACACCTTATACATTAAACATAGCGCTAATAGGCATGCATAGATGACATCCTCTTGTTAGTTTGGTATTTTGTTGTATCTCCCCTCATCTGCTCAAGTTGCCTGCGGTTCTCCATTCCCCTCTCACCTTCCCAAAACTAGTTGTCTTGGAGCGCCCCCGGGTGGGCGTTTTGGCTGTCGTGTTTCTTTCCCTCCCTCCCCCTTTCCTTCCCCCCCTCCCCTTTGCCTCCTTCATCCCTGTGTACCCGTTTTCTCCCCCTTTCCCCCCCTGCCTCCCCCCTCCCCCTTCAATCTGTGTGCATACTGTCGTCTGTTTCCTCACTCAGTGCTTGCGTAGCCCATGCCCTTCCCCCCACTCCCTTCCCCGTTCCTTCCCCCCTCCCCTTTGCCTCCTTCATCCCTGTGTACCCGTTTTCTCCCCCTTCCCCCCCTGCCTCCCCCCTCCCCCTTCAATCTGTGTGCATACTGTCGTCTGTTTCCTCACTCAGTGCTTGCGTAGCCCATGCCCTTCCCCCCACTCCCTTCCCCGTTCCCTCCCTCCCACCTCTAGTGTGACCTCGTGTGTGCGTGTAGTTTCGTGACCATGTAATGTGCCATGTGGTTCTATATGGCTTGGGTGTTGTGTGTGAGTTTGCCTACAGCCATTCTGGCCCCTTGGCCCGGCCCGCGCTCCCAGTCCCCACCCCAATTGTCCAGTTCCCCACCTTCTAGTAAATAGGTGCGTGTGGAATTATGCGTTAGTCCCCTCAGGCCCCCCGGTAGCCCTTTCCCACCCCAATCCATCTTGCGTTTTCTTGTGTATGTCCCCGTATTTGTTACTCACAGTTCGGTGCGTTCTCGCTGTGGCCCTAGGGTCCCCCCCAGGCTGTTTGATGGTCTGTTTATCGCTCACGCCTTGCCTGGCCTTGATTCCAGTCACGGCGGCGCTGGTGCTGGGGCCCTTGGGGGTTCAGATCCTGTCTGCGTGGTTGCTGCGGTCCTGGTGGTTGCTGGAGGAACGACCTTGTTAGCCAGTCGGGTACTTGTATTGGCGGGAGGCCTAGGGTGCGTAGAAAGCTTGGGACTTCTTCTGATTTCCTCAGCGTTATTTGGTCCGGGCCCTGTCTAGCTGTCAGGGAAAATGGGTAGCCCCAGCGGTACGGGATACCTGCTTGTTGTAGATGGATATATTTTGCCCCTCCAGGCGGACGGTTCCCATACGGCGGGCCGTGCGCAATATTTCCTCCTTTAGCTGGTAGTTATCTAGGCAGCATATGATGTCCCTGGGCTGGTCTTCTGGGGCTGGCAGGGGTCTCAGAGCTCTGTGTGCCCTTACTAGGCCTAGTCTGGGTATGTGCTGACCCCCCAGTACCTGCGTGAATATTTGCCGCAGCGTGTCTGGAATATTCTCCGACGGGCCTCCTTCCCTCACCCCGCGGACGCGTAGGTTCAGTCTGCGGCCGCGGTTGTCCAGGTCATCTATCCACGTGGTGAGGTATGCCATGTCTGCTTCCTGGCCTGTGACTGCCGTGTTGGTGTGCTCCAGGTCTGTCCGGAGGGCTTTTGTCTCTGCCTCTGCCACGGACATACGGGCCTCCATGTTTACCATATCAGCACGGAGTTGGGCCACTTCTTCACGTACCACCCGGCCTAGGCGATCTGAGAGGGCCTCGAAGTCAGTCTTCGTTAGGAGGTTGGGCAGTATATCCCTCCATCCATCCTCCTGCAGCATCTGAGGTTCGGATGCATAGGATAAGGCAGGTGAGTGCCTGGCCGGAGTGGATGGAATGGAGTCCGGCGCTTGGTTTGCGGCCTCCATTTCCGGCTGTGGGGATTGTGCGCGGGTAGTGGGATGCAGATAGGACCTTATTGTGTGGTCCCCTCCGGGACCCGCGGGCCTCGGGGTGCCTCCCGGGTCGGTAAGCTTCTTTGTGCGACCCATTTGTTGTGTGCAGCGAGCGGGATTAGCGGGTTGCTTGCGGCTTGGATGCGGGCGCCACGAGGAGCTCTGGGTTCACACGTCCATCTTGGTCGGCTGCCGGACACGCCCCCCAAGTTTTCATTTGGGCTATAAATACTAAACTGTGGTTTTTATTTTGTGTTTGGGCAGTGGAGTGACCCTTTAACAGCTCAAAAGCACAGGAAGAAAAGTCAGAATGTAATGATAAAATATAAAAAATACAAAATGATAGTTGTGTAACACTTTTAACACATAAAATAACTAAAGTACAGTGTGATTTACAGCATGATTAACCACTGAGATTAAGAAAGGGCCACATTAAACACACCTAACCCCTTTTAATACAAAGACAATGGACAGTAAGATCAATATTGGAGTGCATGAAGGCAATACGTATCTATTGTTGACTCCTGTTTATTTAAGGTATTATTCAACAAAGGTGTCAGAAAGCTGGAATTTATTTTTATCAGGAGAGATTTAGCAAATAAAAGCCTGAGAGGGAAAGGAAATTAGGATAGATTTTAAAAAAAAATGCAGAAGAGAAGAAGAGGGGTAAAAGACTAATGAAAAGAGGGAAATTTATATTTTGGGAATGGAGGAGCACAAATTGAGTGGATGTAGTAAATACATTTTTCATGGGCTGAAAAATATTAATGCAAAAGTAGCCTTTTGGTATAGAGATTATTGAAAAGAAAACAGAGATAAAGGGTAGATATCAGTTTTCTGAGGTGACTCATAACTCCCAACTGTCCCTATTTAAAAGGCACAGTCCATATTTTGGGCCCAAATCTCTCTGTCCCTGTTTTCTATCCTAATGTCCCTCTTTTACGAAGATCTTTATATTATTGGTGTGTCCGAGTATGTTACAGAGCTCCACTGCAATAATACTCACAGTAATATGTGTTTAAACTATAATAAATGTGTTTAGAAATCAGTCTTAGTAAATTAGAAACAGGGATGTGGGATGTGATGTTGCATCAGTTAGGAGCTGGGCAATGAGTGCAGAGAGATCTCAGCAGTCTCCTACTACTGGACTCTAAGGATAAGGTCCCACCTCATCTCCCTTTCAACGGTAAAAAAAGGGACGTGGGTCGACCTCATAGTTAAAAAAAAAATACACAAAATAAAAATCAAGTGCGAATGAGAACTCCAATAAGCAAAATATTATAAAAAAATAAAAGCAGCACAACTAGACGCAAACATGCACAAATGGGGCTACTTACAAGGAGGAAACAGACGTTTCAACAAAACACCCTCACCCATATAAATACAAAAACAGAAGTGAGAACAAATGACCCGGTACCATCATCACTGAAGAAGAACAGCCAGATGCCTAGATGATAGCTCACTGGAGGTATGTGTGAATTTGATGTCAGGATAACTAATATTCCAAAAATTAACAAAATGACCAAGATCAATGGAAGAGCTCCTCCAGGTACGGAAGCAATCAATTACATAGGGATACCAAGTCAGAGCATTAGGAGAGGAAAAAGGTTTATTGTACAAGAAGCGTTACTGTAATCCATCATGTACAGGATGGCATAGGTTGTGCCATAATCGCGAACATCGCTGTACTCTTAACCTGTTCATAAGAGATAGTGAGGTACCGACAGTAGGGACTGTGACGAGAGCAATCTCGCCACATTGCATTGGAGAAGCCTGGTTGCTCGCCTATTGCCTTTAGACTATGGCCCCATGTTAAAAGACATCTTTGTTCCCTGCAGAAAAGACTTATTCGTGCTTTCTTGCCTGGTGTTCGGTAGATTCAATCTACCGAACAACCGCACGAATGACTGGACCAGCTGGAGTGTGCTGGCAATTAGCCTCCCTGAAGCTGCGGTTAACCACAGCTTAATTGATGAATGCTGGGTGGCCGCCATTCGTATCACGAACACGAGGTCGCGGCCATTTTAAACATGCGAACGCACAGCGATGTTCGACGCTTAATTCATGGAACTGAAATCGGACACAGTTTTGCGCGAACACCGCTGAAGCCGCCGACCTCCCTTCTTGTTCAGTGAAAGTGCACGAACGGCCCGGTGTTCGGTAGTTTTACTTGAATATGTTATACCCCAGATAGGAATCCCATGGAGCCCATTCGCATAAGAACTGACTGTGTACAGACTTTGGCTCCATGGCGATTACACTGTATTCGTGTGGTCTGAGCGCCATTCGCTTAATAATGTGCGCTCAGACCTGAGCTATCTGGGGACATGTTAAATGTATAGTTTTAATGTAATGTGTCTTACATAGTGTATTTTAAGCGTAATTCATGTTTTAGTAAAAGCATAATGGCGATTTGCCTTTGTCTTGGGAGATAATTGAATTACTTCTCAATTATCTCCAAGGCAGAGGGGAGGAAGCCAGGATGCATTGTGGGAATATAATGTGATTGTGTGTCCTATTTGTCTACTTGTCTGTCTTTTGTCACAGTCTCCCATTTGGTCCCCTAGGGGAGTGTCCACCAGGTGGGAGACCTGCATAAATACTGGGCAGGTAGCCCTCTTTAAACAGACCACTGCTTGACCCCCAACACGGAGCCTTGTCTCGTCTTTGGGGGGGATTTACTGAACGCTGATAGAGACTGATTGCTAGGAGTGTAAGCCACTTGGATGCTTTTCCTATTCGTTTGCTAGCAGCGATTCGTATGGTTCCAGTTCGTGTGTTTGGAGTGCTATATTGGATGCCGTTTGGGAGTTTGGAGCATTCCCTTATTTGCGGTTCGAGAGTTTGGTGTTCTACAATAGCTGTGCCTGCATCTCTGGAAAGGGGGACGATCGCCTAAACGGTTTTTACCCCTTGTGTGCAAAACGGTCTGTTACAGGGACTATTTAAGGACAATCTCCAAGAGTTTGGGCGCAAATAGCTTCTCATCAAGTAGGACGTTAGATAACTTCTCATGGATACCTTTAGGTCTGTCCATACGGGGTATGGAATTATAGAGGTTGGCTACACCCAGGATAACAAAAATCATGTCTGGGGCACTAATCAAATCTTTAGTGTCTTTTATGTAGGATTGGCTTAAACAAACAAGTGGTTGCAAGAACTGATCGATGTAGAAAGCCAATGGCTTAAACACAGAATCAGGTCCTGCAACTATGAGACATCCAGGTGAGATTGTAGGGTTGTTATGTACTTTGGGGAGTACATAAATATCTGGTACAGTAGGGAACTTTTTATGAAGGAAATTGTGGTGAGCTTTCGAGACAGTTGAAATTATTTTTTAATATGTGCCTAGTAGGGACACTCTTGAGGATTTTTTAATTGGTTCTGTCTAGGAGCAGGCGCATCACTTCGGCATATGTCTCACTGTTTTGTATTACTTTTAAGCTTTCCTTAATAATATTAGGGTTAGATGATAATTCATGTATATCCTGCTTTTCTCTGACGGGCACATTGTAAGAAACCTTCTGGTTGTGTCAGGATAGATTTTCCACTTTGGTTACTACATTAGAGAAAGTTTGTACTGCAGGACTATAGTGAAAAATGTACAGAACTTCTTACAGACCTCAAAAACCTCAGAAACTGCTGAGATTTTCTGGATGTAGCATTTAACATTTTCTGCTTCTACTTGTGCAGTTAGTAAATTGGAAATTTCTATCTTTTTGTGAGGCAATCTTATCCAATTTCTCCTTTAAACATTCAACAGTTAAATCAACGAGGTCAAGAGCACACTTGTTTATTACCTGATATCAGATCACACTGATTTGTATTGTCCTTACACAGAGTTGGTAATACTGTAGTGAAACCTTTTAGACCTTGAGGGATGTGTTTTACTGTTAAGTATTCATCAAGTGTTAAATGATGTAATTTAGAATGTATCTCTTTCTTACACGGGGATTCAAAACACTTCTTTAATTCAATTGAGTCAGTTTCAGGTTAATTAGCACTAATAAAAGATTCAAGGTGTTGTGGAGTATAAGCAAACACTTCTCTTTTTTAGTCAAATTAGCTATATCAGCAAAATACATATTCACTAGAAAAATGTCTCAGCAAAATAAAGCAATGTTGCCATATGACGACAGAGGAAGGGTTACTGCAGTAGCCAAAAATAAATAAAAACTAACGATCATTTAACTGAAAATGTGAAGTAGTGTGTGTATATGGGACTGTGTGTGTACATGTGTGCATACAAGGCTGTGTGTATGAGTCTGTGTTTATATGTATGTGTGTGTATACGAATGTAATCGTGTCTGAATATGAATGTGCAAATGGATGTCAGTATATGGAGAGGGGTGTGCCAAATTACATGTTCACCCCAGGTGCCAAGTAACCTAGGTACACCTCTGGAATTAAGATCAGCCATTTATTTTAAGTTATTTATAACATCATAGGGAGACTGGAAAATTTCAATCCCTAATTTTGTTTGAGGTTGCTTTCTTAAATGTTGATATATAATTGCAGAAGATCTTTCGAAACAGAAACCTGGCATCATAACGGACTGGAATATGCAACTACACGCAAGGAGATACCTTACTCTTTTAATAGTGTGGGATCATCACTACAGCATTATCATTCATCAACAATTCACACAGATGCATCACAGTGTGAAAGTATGAACTACCACCCACAGGCCCAAAAATGTATGAAATGACTTTGCTTCCTGTATGTACAAAAAGAGAGATGTGTTGTAATTTTCTCTTGTCCCATATTAATGTAGCTGAGGTTTACCAGAGCATCATTCCATACAATGGAACAGTCTATTGTACAGTCTCCTTTGGATTCCAGAATGCCACCCCCTTTTTATTATCCTTGTCTGCATGATGCCCCACCAAGCCCCTGTTCTGTTGTTCACTTTTGAATGTAGTCAGGTGCCCGTGGACTCCTATCCCCTTCCCGACCAAAGACAGAAATTTTTTGTTAACCTTGTCCATGCATTAAGGACCCTTGACGGAAAATTTTAATAGCGGGGTTAACACTCCTCCGGTCTGCCTCGGTATTTGAGGCAGACTGGGAGCACCCGATCGCGCTGTCCCTGCAGCTGTGATCACTCTCACAAGCTGTCAGAGCGAGCATATGTGCTGCAGGGACTTCTGATCCGCCTCCCTGTGTTTCCGCGTACTGTGTGAAGTGCAGGGAGACGAATCAGCAGTGATCTTCTCCCTGCAAAAAAATAAATAAAGTTAAAGTTAAATCACCCACCCCCCCTCCCATTTTCCCCTGCTTTAATAAAGTTAACCCCTTTCCATGCCAAATGATCACTGACTACATTGGCAGGGGTTACATGTATTTTATTAAGTAGTTTAAATATTTTAAAATGATATATTTAGCTAGCTGGGGTGGGTGGAAGTTAGTGGGGAATTGTGAATTTGGTGTTAGGCTAGCTAGGGGTTAACATTAAATTCTTTTAAAAAAAGCTTTAAAAAGTAAAAAAACTATTTTTAAAATATGTTTTAATAACGTTTAAAAAAAAACTAAAATAAAATCCCACCCCCTTTACCCAGTCCGAATAAAAATTAACCCCTTCCCTGCCCACAGTGATCAAAATACAGATCACAGTATTATACTGTGATGTAATTTTTTTTAACCCCTGAGGATTAACTTTTTTTTATTTTTTAACCCTCAGGGGTTCAATTTATTTCATTAATTCATTTAAATATTTTAAAATTATATATTTTGCTAGCTGGGGTGGATGGGAGTTATGGGAAATTGGGAAATTTACTGTTAGTGCTACTTACTGCTAGTTAGGGGTTAACGATAAAAAAAGTTTATAAAAAATTGTAAAAGTGTAAAAAAAGTTAAGAAAGTTTTAAAAAGTTAAAAAAATTTCATGTGTAATTAGAAAAGTTTAAAAACGAGTTTTAAAAAAGTAAAAAAAGTCTTAAAAAGTTAATAAATACATTAAACAAATGCTCATTACCACTACACCTGGAACAAACTAGAAAAAAAATGATCCCACGCTAAGGTTCAAAATATGCCTTTTGAATTTCCCCGAAGTGTATTCTTTAATAAATAGTATGTGTTTGTGGGGGAGTTTGAATAACCAACCAGCTAAACTACTCCAAAATGGAACATGGACACAGCGTAAAACTTTAAAGTTAGAAAAAAAACTCAATGGCTGCGTCTCAAATGTGCCCCTTCAACATCCACATATACCTGGCAAAGGTACATACAGGGGTATTGCTGTACTCAGATGACATAGCTGAGCAAAATATGAAGTATTATACAGCTGTAGCACACATAAGGTTTGCAAAATATACTGTGCAAACTCACTTTGTCAAAAAGGCAGAAAAAATGCTTATTACCACTACACTTGGTACAAGCTAGTGGAAAAATTATCCCACGCTAAGGTTCAAAATATGCCTTTTGAAATACTCTGGAATGTCTTCTTTAAGAAATGGTATGCCTTTATGGGGTAGTTGGATTATATAGCCTGCTAAAATACCCTAAAATGGGACTCGGACGCATGAAAACTCTCCATGAAAATACACACTTAAAAACCTGAACTTGTCACGTCTCTTTTACAGCACTGTAACTTCACAAAATAGTGTCCAGGTCATACATTGGGCATATTGTTTTACTCAGAAGATGTAACTGAGCATAATTTCGGGGGTTTTATGACAGTGGTTCTAACTATAGAAACTGAAATAGCCTTGTCTCTTATATAGCATTGTAGCTTCACAGAATAGTGCCAACTGTTTTTTTCACCCATTTTTTTCCATTTCTTTTATAATTAATGAGAATTTATCTATGTATATGTGACATAAAAGTAAAGCCCTGTTTGCCCTCTAAAAAAACGGTATATAATATGTGTTGGTGCAATAAACGAGAGAGATGCAAATTGCGTTTCAACACAAACAGCAAAAAATGCAAAAATGGCTTGTGTCCTGAAGGGTAAGACAAGCTTTTGAAGTGTGTCCTTAAGGGGCTATACAACCTCTGACCATCTGTACATTACATATTATCACATTGATCTGTGCAAGAGTGAATGAGAAATTTGTGGTCATCAGATACACAAAAGGTATCAGAAAATGGTTAGTGAGAAATAACCTGTGGAAAGAAAAATGAAAATAGGAAAACAACAGGAAAAATATGTACTACTTGGGTCCTGTGTCTGAATATAAAACAAGGCAACACCTACAAGAGTCACACAGGATGAGGAAAAGGATAGTTACGCGTTAACGGACCTTAAAGTGGCCGGACGTAAGGTTAAAAGCACAGAGAAATAGCAAGGTCAATAAATATCCAGAGGTCAAAGATAAAACAAGAACACAAATTCGATTAGACAAACCAAGGAAAGATATACAGAACTCAGAGTACTCGGGACATGCAAGGATCAAAAACCAAGTTACAAACAGGACATAAAGTGCTCTTGGATAACCAGAAGGGAACCACAACAGGGCACTGAACATGAAGGTCAAGTATTTATAAGCCTGAAACATTTCCTTGATAGTCAACCCCCCCAAAACATGAGTGGGAGTTGGCAATGACACAACAACATCATGAAGTGGAGTGGCTTACTGATATCATAAGAAATGCTGTCAAAGTTATCTGAGGGAGTGAAACTTATTTGGTGTCTACTTAAGGAGGTAGGGTGAGTGGCGTAGCGCAAGGGTATATATCCTTACATTCTATGAATGGGGGCAGCATGTATCGGAGGTGGGAACTACTTCCTTATCTACTCAGGTGGTGAGGTCTCAGCTTTGGGTATCACAACCTTACTATAATGGGGAATGAGGCATTGTGAACCCAATTTGTATGCTTTATGTTGAACTTGTAGATGAAATATGCTCTGGATCTCACTGCTGAGCTGTTTCCGCTGACAGTATGAAACTGACAGGAGTCAGGATCCACTATAATCCAACATACGGCACAGGGTGAATGAATATAGTAGAGAACGGTCTGCTATAAATAGGAAGGGTGAGACAGGGGGTTTTAACGAGTCTTAGAATGGTCAGCTATTAAAGTAGAATTATGTGAGACTACTTGGAAAATCTGTCCACCACATTGTGGCAGAAAGAGATGGGAGATAGACATTAGGCATGAGAATGGAAGTAAAAGCTAGAAACGGGTAAATGAGGCCATGGGTTTTTAGAGGCTAAAATCGCTAAATGTTAAACAAGCACAGCAAATAAAAACCTCACACAATGCTACAGAACCTATTCATCCTTTTAAAAATGAATTTGCACCATCCCGCTTTGAACTCTTTCCTTTAACATTGAAGAAATAAAGAGCAAGTTGTAAATTCACTTTTTTATAGTTGCAGGCTCAGATGTACCTGCTACACGAATGTTGAACCCTTCCCATGGCTTTCGTGGTATTGGGGGCTTAGTCACAGAGGGTAAAAAGCCAGTAACACAGGCTGAGAGATCTTCTATGGCAGGAATGATCAAATTTCATGGTCTTACCACTATTTGTTTCTCTCATTTTTTATTTATTAATACATGGTTAAATATAAAAAGAATATTCCAGCAGTACGGGTACATAAGTATAAAGGAGCAAAAAATCTGACCGAATATACAAAGAAAAAGGAAATACTTTTCCTAATATTCTTAGAACACTAATAAATTGGAACCAAATGGAATCCTAACATTTTTATTTACCACAGCAGTGGAACATGGATGTTCATGAACAGCACAGAGGGGTTTGGTATTAAATTCTTCAAATAAAAAAATATGTAAGACATCTCGGTGCCAATCAACACATTGATAGCGAAGATAAAAACCAAAAAATCTAAAATAGTTAGAGAGTTCTTTGCTTCTCTTGAAGGTTCCATCCATCTTTAGTCTCAGAAGGCAAATGGGATTCAACTTTTATGGATATATCGTACATTGTGTATAAGGGTGGCATATGTTGAAATGGGCCCTTTGATTCCTGATAGTAAACGTGATCACTAACAGAATACATACAGATTTTTTTTTTCCTTATTCATCACATGAGGAATTGATATAGAACATCTGGAAACTATAATGATGCAATCTGGATGTTTGTAACAGAACAAAAATATGTATTACACTTGGTTTGGTTCCCTTTCAACTGGATTCTCTCCGTGCAAAATCTAAAAGAACAAATCTTCCTGAATACAAGACTTTATTAAATAAGGTATGTCAAATTATCATTTTTATGTTACTGCCGCTGTTGTACTTTGTTTGCTAACTCCTGTTATAGACGTTTGGTATAATTCATTGTCCACGACTTAATCTTTAAATGTTTGACACGCATAAGTCAGAATCTTTCAATGTGCAGTTAGCTGCTGTACATTGTGTGAAACAGACCCAGCAAACAAAGTATGGGATTTCCATAAATAAGTCGTACATATGGTCTATGTAGAGAAGATTGTGATATTATTGAGCCGTGTGACAAAGTCTCTCTCTCTTGCAAGAGTAACTATTCTGATACACGGTGATAGTACGTCCCCTTTACTTCCACCTATGGTGGCCAATTAGAATTTCAATAATTGTGTGGACATTTGCTTAGCATGTTTTTGATTATGGGGACATAAAGCTACTGGAAAAAAGGAAGCAGGGGCTTGGGGGGGTTTCACACCTGGAAAATGCATATTTCAGTAGTGGTGCAGACATAAAGACCAAAATAAATACAAAAAAATACAGTATAAGGAACAGTACACACACAAAATACAGTTTTACATTTTACAAGGCTACTTACAAACACCTATCTTAGCAAATCAATATGTAATTTAGTTACACCATATGACCATATTCGGTATATATATATTTTTTTTGGTATATATCGGTGGGTCCTACACTAATTTCAACATGGGAGGTTAAAATGCTAACTGCTATACTTGCTGCTTAAACTGCTTCCAAAGACTCTCCAGAAATGTATGCTGTCCTGTGATCACCAGTAAAAGGGCATTTAGAGTAGAAGAGTAGGTTTGCTCAACCTAATACAAACATATATAAAATATAACACACGTGCTCCCCATTGTGTAAACAGATATAAAATAGATTTACCCTTATTAACATACTACACCATTTTTATGTCTTTATCTGTCCTTTTTTGTAGATTGTATTTTCTTTGTATTTTATTAAGAAGAAGATTGAAGGAATATTCCTACAATCTTCTTAATAAAATACAAAGAAAATACAATCTACAAAAAAGGACAGATAAAGACAAAAATATGGTGTAGTATGTTTAAAACACCACAAGTAGGCTAATATGAATTGCACTCACAGAGTGGAATTATAATGCAGACATATAGAGGTCTTTAAAATTCAGTGGAGATCAAATATTCTTCCTGTTCAACCTTAATGCAGAGGGAGAGACACAGGAGACATAGTGCACCAGTAAAATGAATGACATAAATTTTATTCAAATTGCACTCATAGGATTTGTTGTAAAAATCCAGCGTATCAAAATATTTAGATGATCCCAATGCCAGTGACACTTCTCCTGGGGTCAAAGATTTGAAGAAGCCGGATAAAAACAAAACCAAAAATAAAAGAAAATTTAAAAAAAATACAAATTTATACAAAAAATAAACAAACAAAAAGTCAATAAAATCAAATGTAGGTGCTGTCTTGGTCCAGCTGCCCAACACGTTTCGTCCGAGAAAAGGGCTTCCTTAGGGGTAAATCAAGGTGTGTGTCGCAAATCAATATGGAATTTAGTTACACCATATGACCATATTCGATATATATATATATATATATATATATATATATATTTGGTATATATCGGTGGGTCCTACACTAATTTCAACATGGGAGGTTAAAATGCTCACTGCTATGCTCACTGCTTAAACTGCTTCCAAAGACTCTCCAGAAATGTATGCTGTCCTGTGATCACCAGTAAAAGGGCACCTAGAGTAGAAGAGTGGGTTTGCTCAACCTAAATGGAATCTGATCTGGACTCTAAACATACATGGAAAAAAAATTGGGGGACACCAATGGAACATACATTTCTCAGTAGTGGCGCTGCCATAAAGACCAAAACGTAAAACTGTTTTACTTTAATCTGACATTGGGCCACTTGCTTAAAATTGAATACAAATGTAAAATTTTAAATACAAAATGACTTACTGTAAATTTTAATTGACTTCTACATATTTCAAGACATTATATATTCGTGTGTGTGCTAATTCCCCACAGTGAAAATGGGGACATGAGTGATCCTTGGAATTGAATATAACATATGTATTGGATCATGGGGATATTGATGGGAATAATAAGTACATTTGGAAAGGAAGTTAGGGATATAAAGAAAGCTTCGGAGAGCCCTATAAGATGAGGAAAGAGGAATGGGGATGATAATAATAGAGATGACTATGGTTGAAAAGACAAGAGGTTGATAAATGAACACTAAGATTGAGAACTACATGACAGGCGCATAGTCGCCATATGGGCAGTTGGAATTCCCCCAAAAACACACTGACACTGATGTATAGGTCAATATGTTCACAGCTTTATTAATATTGATAACAATAAATTAAAGTCATTGCCCAGCCCCCATCCCGCCATATAACATCATATGTCCCCAAAATAAAAGGCAATTACCCATTATTTCTGTAAATCTAAATAACATCAACAACCATAAGAACAAACATCATCAACATAATATAAGTGCCAAACTTTGTTAAATAACCACGGTAGGTGCATACCCGGATACCCCTACCACTGGTCTAGAAGATTAACTCTTTTTACTGTGAAAGAGAAAGAAGATTATTAATTGATGAGATTGGGAAACAAGTCTGGATGATTAAGTGGATGGAACACAGGTTGAGAAGAAGAGAGAGCCCCGACTCTGAGAAGAGAGAGTAAAAAGGTTGACAAGCTAAGAAAAAATGAAGGCTGATAGAAAAGGTTGAGAAAAAGAGAGCAGTAGGCAGTCAAGACCAAAAAAAGTGGCATCTTTGGAGGTCTCAAGATTAACCTGTCAGAGCACTCTGATTGGTGTGCTTAACCCCTTAAGGAGCAAACTTCTGGAATAAAAGGGAATCATGACATGTCACACATGTCATGTGTCCTTCAGGGGTTAAGCCAACCAATCAGAGTGCTCTGAGTCATATTGCACAGCATGGGTAAGCTTTATAAGGCTTTTCCAGTTAATGTCCCTTCCCAGTTAATTCTTTTTTAGGTGCCCCATTTTCCCTTTATTGGATTAGCAACTGGGCAGCAATATCTGCCCAGTAGCTAGTCTTTTCCTATGATAGTGAGCAGCCATTGACTGTTCTCTGTTTAGTAGAAATGCCCCTACTTGCAGCAAAGTGGGTATGGGCAGGAGGTAGGATTTAACTTCCCTTTTTTTTTTTTTAACTAATGCTTAGTATTTTTTTACTTAGTATTAGTATAGTTGTCTGAAAGACCAAAATTACCAAAAGGAAAGGCTTTCAGTTTTTTAGTAGATAGCTTCCTAATGCTTGTGGGATTGCCATAAGAACACCAAAAAGGAGTGATTTACTAAACAGCTCCCTTATGGCAGTCCCACAAGAGTACCAATTTAGACAGTTACCTATGATACGACTGCAAGATGCAGCCGTGGCCCAGGACACTGCCAAAAGTGGGACAGTTGGGAGCGCTGATTATATTCACAGTGTTTCTATATTCCAAACTCCACTTCTAGAATATTAGTTTTAGGAGAAGGACTGAAGAGAAGCTGCAAATAGCAGGTGCTGTTCATGAAAGAATCTCCCACTAACTATCTCATATGACATATACTTTTAACATACCTACCAACTCTGGTGTCCTAAGAATTTGACGAAGTAAAGGGAGCCGACCAGTGATGCAATCGTGTCACTAGCTCCAACCCAAAAGGGCAGGCCCTGCAGCGAGCACAGTTTCAGCACTCCCTACAGGATCCAAGTACCCTACTCATAGTGCGAGCATGTCTATTGATGCACTCGCGCACTGATTGTTGGGAACAGTTCCCTGGTGTCCCCAAAACTGTCCCATCGAATTCAGGGCGGTTGGCAGGCATGTATACATCAACCATACTACACTGAGATTAGCGGCCTCTCTACTGCACAATGTCTGTCACTCAATACAATGTTTTTCTGCAGTATGACTTCAACCACCGTGCATTATAGACTATGATTACATAATCTGGCGTAGTATTTTGTTGTGTATTTCACTTTTACAAGCCAGTTTTTCACTGGCAATCAAAACATTTCTAATTTTCAAGATTTTTTTGTATCTATACTGAACAGAAGATTTACAAATAAAGTTTTTTCACATTTTTTTCATTTTGTAAAATTATTAAACCTACACTGCCACCTACTGCCATCCTTAGTTCTAGCAGATAATTAGGAATAGTAAAAAGGTGTAATCTTCTATATCCAAGTATTAACATAGCCAGATAGTTATTATTATTATTACTGGTATTTATATAGCGTCGGCATATTCCATAGCGCTTTACAATATTATCAAAGAGGGAGATTTAACAATTAATGAGACAATTACAAAAACTTACAGGAACAATAGGTTTAAGAGGGCCCTGCTCAAATGAGCTTACAGTCTATAGGATATTTAATATTTATTAGTGAAAATGCTTGCTATTATCCTAAAAGGCAGTACATTTTCCAATCAGGTTGCACCTTGCATTCATAGTGATACACCTGCTACACATTCATTACATACAAAATATAAAAAGTTTATATGTTGTGAATGAATGATTACATTTAATTTTCTCTTTGTGTACTTTATGGAATTTATCACCAATACAAATCTCCTGAATGTTCTGTTGTTGAAGTGTTCTATTCCAGAGAGAAAAGAACCTGTATAATAGGTCAGGGAGTAGGAGCGGAGCCCTGGTTGTAGAATCAATGAATGCCCCTGCCTCCCTACCTCTCTCCCCAGTGTCCCTCTCCGCCTCCCATTGTGTATGGGGTTGGCTGACCGTGATTGTGTATGATGCAGCTAAGTGTGATTGTGTGTGACAAGGCCGAGTGTGATTGGTCGGTATTGCTGGCAGGATACTGGGTGGTCCTAAAGAGGAGCAATTTGACTGCATTACTTGCAGGTGCAAACCATAGTAAGGTCCCTCTCAGTTCCCACCCATTGGTGGAGGGTGGGGGCTATTAATGAAAGATAGAAAGGGGGGTTGACATGCAGTTGAGTCCAAATATATATCAATATTTGATATTTTTTCGATATTATTCAAACTGAAAATGATCTGCTCTAGTTAAGCTCTTAATGGCTGTAATTAAATTGATATGAACCATTAAGTGGCTTATCAGAAACTATTAAGCTGATGATAAAAGTGATTTGCTGGAATTAAATTGAGGCTAAAATGATGTAGCATACAGAGGAATAGTATGTACAAAGCACATGGAAATATTGTTTTTTTGTTTTACAAATAATAGTATAGACATAATGTTTAAAATGTTAAATATTAAAGGGACAGTTAGATCATCTTAAGGCACTATAACATCTTCATCTAAATAAAGTTGCTATGGTGCCAGAAGGCCCCCTGCGCACTGTTACTTCAAAACCATAGCTGCCTCCAGCATTGATCTCCACTCCCCCACCCCTCCCCTACCCCCAGACGACACCTGGTTTATCGCCTTGAGGTAAGAGTGCGCCAGGTCCTCCTGGCACTATAGCAGCCTAATTTAGATAAAGTTCTTAAGGAGTCTGGGATGCTCCTTTAAGCTTTTTCATGGTAATAGACCTAATTTAAAGGTAAATTTAAAATAGAAATAAACAAAACATCTTTTTTTGTAAATCTACTTCCAATAGCAAAGCAATACTCTAATGTCTCCTCACAGGTTATCGTCAAAATGATGTCAATACTTTATCTTCTACCTGTTCTCTTGCATCATGGTTTATCAGCTCCAAGACTTACGGTAGGTACTAGGTTGTATCTGGTGCAATGCAGTTTTATAAAACTTTATTTAGAAAAGGAATTTGTTGGCTGTAATTATATTTACACCAACAGGGCCACCAGTAATCCAAGTATTTTTAATGCAAGGCCCTCCCTCACACCTAATTATGCTGAAGTAGGGGTAAAAGGAAAGTAATGCCTACTCTTACAAAGTTATTTATTAAAATGAGAATTGTTGGGAAATCAAAGTGAATTCAAAGTGACCACTAACAATTCTCACTTTAGTAAATAACTCTGTATGAAAGGAAAATTTGATAGAAAAAAATTCCCAAGAGGCAGAGAAAATGATACATGTATGGGAATAATATAACATAAATAGATAATGACCATAGTCAGGATATCTGAAATGGGACTAATCATAGAAACTGAAAGTTGTGATGCAGCCAACAGAGAGACAAATATAGAACAACAAATATCAGAAAAAAAATCCCAGGTTACATGAGTCAAAGCAAATACAAGTAGGGTTATAACAAAAAAGGTGTGGTGGAGCTATTCACATGAGCAAAAACCACCAATGTGCACTGGACAATGAGACTTGCTCTATTACATTGGTTGAATTACAAGCAGTATGATATAAATAGAAACCCCAAGCCAGGGGCGGGCTGGGACAGGGGGGTGAGGGGTGCAGGGAGGGAATTGCCTCCCAGGCCGGCCTAAATCCAGGGCTGTCTTTAACATGGGGCTGCCCCAGGCCCAGTTACACCTGGAGGTCCAATGTAGCTGCCCCTTGGCCCCGCCACCCACAACCAGCAAAAGAAAAGTTCCCCCCTATGGGCCCATGGTGCTGGTATTGTGGCTGCACTGGGGCCTACACACTAAGTGCTTTAACAGCACGACTGGGCCCCTTTACGGCAGCATGGGAGGAAGTGTAGAACGTGAGTCACTTCCTACCACAGAGACAAAAAAACTGCGCGGGAAAGAGACAGAGCCAGAAGGCAGTGTGAGAGCCAGCAAGCAGAGCCAGACCCCAACTCCCAAGCACCCTCCCCAGCACACTGGACCCCAGCAAAGGTACCAGCAAAGGTAGGAAACTAGCTTTAAAAGTGTAAAGTTTGTGTGTGTGTGTGTGTGTGTGCATTTGAGTATGTGTGTGTCAGTAGGTCTGTGTGTGTGTCAGTATGTCTGTGTGTGTGTCAGTATGTATATCTGTGTGTGTGCGTGTCAGTATGTCTGTGTGTGTGCGTGTCAGTATGCCTGTGTGTGTGCCAGTATGTCTTTGTGTGTGTCGGTATGTCTGTCTATGTGTGTCAGTATGTCTGTCTATGTGTGTGCAAGTATGTCTCTGTGTGTGTGCCTGTATGTGTGTGTGTGTGTCAGTATGTCTGTCTGTGTGAGTCAGTATGCCTGTCTATGTGTGTCAGTATGTCTATGTGTGTGCAGGTATGTCTCTGTGTGTGTGCCTGTGTGTGTCAGTATGCCTGTAACAGTGTGGAAAAGGTGGGCATGGATGGTGAGGTGATAAGGTGGTGCAATGGGCCACTTGACTGGATTTGCCCCCCAGGCCTAAAGCTGCCAGCCCTGCCCTGCCCCAAGCACATGCACACAGATTAGTTACAAGTATGTTATCAGATGATAATGCAGAACAACCATGTAGCATCAGAAGAACAACACTGTCACGTGAATTGTCAGAATGGTTGAGTAGGATCTGTTGGAGAGCGAGAGACAAAAACTGAAACTGGATGATGCTAAACTTCATGCTGGTGACAGAAGTCTTGATCTTGCCAAGGAAATAGGGAGAAATCTTACAGAAAATGCAGTGATGGTCTTGCTTACTGCTGTCTGTTTCTTTCTTTTCAAGGACAAAGAAATCTGCATCTTGGATAATGGAAAATTACATTATAAGATAACAGTTCTACAGGACAGGCTTCGTTTAGGAGACCTGCTGCTTCAAGACCTCATTAATAATAACTATCACTCGGTAAAGAGCAACGTCTTTAAAAGCAACATTGATAGAAGAAAGATAGACATACAAGTCCCTCCAACCAGTGGGAATCTGATCGTTCATGATGAAGGTAGGAATGGAAGCCCCTTTTCTGCAAAGTTTTCGGTAGGCACCTGTAGGCTTAACTAGGGAATTTATTTTAAGTGCAATATTTTTCACTAAAAAGGCATTCCTGGTTTAGATTTACCACCCCATCTCATGCACATACTTTTTTAATGGATTATATCTGCCACTGTTAACCACACATATTTTAATTCTCTGGATTCTACTGTGATTTTAGTAACATTGTGGATTCCATTAGCTTGATCTTCACCTGCCAATCATTATAGAAAGAGCAGAGACAAAAGAGAAGATACAGGAAGAAAGTTTAGGTTTCCCCTTCTTTTGCGCAGTGTGTACCCTGGCATCAATGTTGTGATCAAGAGTTTATCCAGTGGTTTAATTTCTGGAAAAGACATGGTTTCCCTTTAATCCTTGCAGATTGTTCTTCTGTGTTTGAAAGAGGAAAAAGGGAGAGCGGTTATTATCGCATACAACCAACACCAGGGAATGAGCCATTTCTTGTGTACTGCGACATGACTGATGGAGGGGGTTGGACTGTGATCCAGCGCCGCAGCAATGGGAGAGTTAATTTTAATAAGTACAGACATGATTTTTCACATATTTGTTTCTATGTAACAAGGAAATACATTAATTTAACATTATTAACATTATTTAAATTATTAATTTTAACATATTCATATTGTCTTAAATGAGTATCAACAATTTTTCAGGGTAGCTCTGTTCGTGGCAAGTTACCAGATTTCTTCTAGGGTAAATCATTTTTTTGTGTGGCCATCCTAAATACAATGGACTCTAAGCGCTGCATTTTTTGGTATATAGGGGCTAAATACATAGTCTTTTTGCTCCCCAATGTGTGATAAAACACTGCCTACATTCTATATTCCGAGTGTCACCCAGAGTAATGTCCAGGTGACCAGCAGGAGGGGGCGCACAGAGCTTTCCCTTCCTACTAGTCACCAGCTTAACGTGGCCTACTTACCGTGGTAGAGGATATTTTTTTATTCTCTACCCAGTGTGACAGGAGGCTACACAAAGCAGCAAACACCTCTCTATTAGACTGAGTAGAGGAATAAAGAAGATCCTCTACCCTGGTCCCTGAATGCACTCTCCAACAGGGGGTCAGAGTGACGAATAGGGTTGAGTCAAAGAGGGGGTGCAAGAGACATTTGACAGTTTTTTTGACAACTGGCTGTTTTTTAGGGGGGGGGGGTTTCGTAAAAAAAAATTTTAGTTAAAAAAATATTTGCTCACCTTATATTCTGGTGCGTAATATTCCAAAAACCCTGTAAAAACGTTTTAAAGTGAAACAGCCCAGGATCACCTCTAAATTACCCTATATATATTATATTACATTATGTTTAGATTTTGCAGCACTCTGATTTAGCCCATTCTGCACATTTTTTTGTTCTTCTGATTAGGTTTCCAAATCAGAAAATCTCGACCGAAATTCTTCCAAACCAGCAATCAGCCTAAATTCCCAAAACAATTGCTATTTACTGAAAAAATCGGCACAAGTCAACCGATTATTGTTGTCTGCTTAAAACTAAATGGCTGACATAATGCATACGCAGTTACCTACCTAATTCTATTGTGTGTTTTCATTGCCAATGATTTATAAGGAAACCACATGCAGCTAAATATTATGTGTTACATCTTGTGAACAATTCTCAGTTGGGCACAAACTGTTCCCAATGGAGGATCCCCTAAAATGGCAGCACTGGAGTGACAGTTTTTCTTTAAATTATACAATTATGGGTCACTAAACAAGATATGAGAAAACATAATTCAGCATAAATATATCATACTTTAAATTATATATATATTTTTTTCTCTTCATTAACCAGACATTGTTCATTGCTTTGCAGAAAATGGGATGACTACAAACAAGGATTTGGTTTCTTTAAAGGTAAAAACGATGAATATTGGCTTGGGAACAATCACATTTATAGCCTTCTTGATAAAAGTAAGTACATTGATGCAGGTTTTAATCCATTCTTTATCCAGTCACTCTGGCAGTTAATGATTTAATGGCAGATTGCTTACCGCTCATTCTATGATTGTCCAGGAGAAATGTCACTGCAAATTGATCTCATGGACTGGAAAGGAAACAAACGAAATGCAATCTACGAAGAGTTTAGAACAGGAAATGAACAGGTAAGAACAGCCTCCCAAACAGGGTGGACAATTAAGGCCCACATTAAACATATTTATTTAGAGGCAAACAAATAAATAACCAACAAATATGGCAACAGTTCCCAAGGCTAACCTCAGTATAAAAGCTTGGTGCTAAATGTGCGTGTGGATATTTTACATACTCTCAGGCCTATGGGACAAATGTCACAGGGACAACGATCAATAGTCCTAGGGCAGCATTTTCTGTCTATTGTTTTATTGTGCTGTTACCTATAACGCTGGTTAGTCTCGTACAGAATGGCATGAGTGGAGTTTATTTTGTACTTTGTCTAATATCGGATAAAGTTACATTCATAAGCACTGCCACAGTGAGTCACGAGGACTCCAGACACACAGTGTTTGAGAGTCATCTATTCCTGAAGTAGCCCACTCACATTGCCATTCTTACCGCTTTTGGCCTCACAGTACGGCGCTGGGTGCTGGACCCTGGTATATAATTTTTATTGCCACTGTTTTTAACAGAGTGCTCGCCTTGAAAGGGAGCAGGAGAGAAATGTCAACGCGAGCACAGCTCTCCCACTTCCCTCTTAGACCACCAAGGAAAATCACATGGAAATAAGAGCTTTGGCTTTTGGGGCCCAGTTGGACCAAGCAAAACTTCTGTAAAATTAATAATTTCCTATTTGCAAACATTCCCTCAAGTATAGAGTGTTCACTTTTTTTCAACTCACAAAAACAGATTTGGGATATGTACATACAGTGTGTTGGTCTATTTGTCCTTTGGGACAGTTCGCTAGCACATTCGAAGAAACACTCTGACGTTAGAAATACAAACTTGTACTCCAGACCCCCCAACGCTGGTAAATAATAAATAAAAAAAGCTTCATTATTTACCTTTATTTCCTCTCTGTAAAGGTCTCCATACAGCTAGTGATCATCCCTTGGCATAGATCATAATTTCCGATGATCTCAGATAATTCAATGCTTTTCCATAGGGATGCGCATGCATGGCAATTGCTGTGTAACACCAATCAGAATCTCTTCAGAGAGGTGCCTTGACATGTTGCATCTGTTTGGGGAACGTTTTGTCAACTATATGCAGAAGACGAAGACACTGGAAGTCAGTTGCTGCAAAGTTCCAAGACTGCAACAGGATAGACCTCTAGTGAACTTGGATTGGCAATTACTAGAGGTGACCTTATGGACAAATATAACCACTGCATTTTCTCAGAGAAGGCAGTGGTTACAATTGTCAGACAGCAGGGACAGGCTCTATGCACCAGAACCCCTACAATACGCTGCAGTGGTCCTGGTGCATAGAGTTAAAAGACCACTATAGTCACCCAGACCACTTCAGCTCAATGAAGTGGTCTGGGTGCCAGGTCCCTCTAGGGTTAACCCTGCCATAGAGAAACTGCTATGTTTACATTTGGGGTTAAGCCAGCCTCTAGTGGCTGTCTTCCGGACAGCCACTAGAGGCGCATCTGTGACGCTGGAGGCATTTTATGCCTCCATCACGCAGAGCATCCATAGGAAAGCATTGAAAAAATGCTTTCCTATGGACACTTTGAATGCGCACGCGGCACATGCGCATTCCGCTTCGCTGACATCAGACGGGGGAGCTGACGTCGGCAGGGGAGGAGAGGTAAGGGAGCCCGGCGGTGGAAGAAGGTGAGTAACTGTAGGGGTTTTAACCTTCAGCACCACAGGAGGGGGATCCAGGGTGGGGGCACCCTCAGGTACTATAGTGTCAGGAAAACCGATTTGTTTTCCTGACACTATAGTGATCCTTTAAAGTATATATTTTTCAATAACACTAAGTAAGTTATTTCCTTTAAGGCAAATTGGTATTTGATTATAACCATTTAATTAAAAAAAAACAAAAAAAATCTGCTACAGTATTCTGAAAATATTGCATGGAGCTGTTGATACATTTGAGGTTTAGGATATATAAGATAAGATATAACTGAAAATAATATGCTGATGAAGCAAAGTGCCATTTTATGTATATGACAAATATATTTGTATATTTTTTATAGGATAATTACAAGCTATGGGTGGGCTACTATTCAGGCACTGCTGGAGATGGCTTGTCTGGGGGGAGCAACTTTGAAAATCAATGGTCGGCATCATTAAAGGGAATGCCATTCAGCACTTCGGATAAAGACAATGATAGATTCATTCACGGGAATTGTGCGCAGGAGAACAAATGTGGCTGGTGGTTCAACAGGTAAGAAAGCTTAACAATTAATCTAAACAATTAAGATTTTAAAATTTGCTTTTTTTTATTATAAAGGGACGATTAATTGCATGTATTTTATGGGGGGTAGGGAGGAATAATTATTCATCTTTAAAAATGTATTTTATACCACATATCTTTTGAAAATGTCTGTAAGCATTCATCTCCCTTCATATTGACCTGCAATGGATTCTACCCAATTTAGTACTTACTGGGTTAAATCACTAAACCGATAATTTGGGGAGATTTGATACCATTCCTTTTCTTTGAGGTTACTATTTTGCTCAGCTACAATTCCAAGTTATTTATAGTACTGATTGCTTTACTCAATTATAATTTGATTTAATGAGATGATAGTGAACATGCTACATACATATAGTACATGCATGTTTTATGTATATACACATACATACAATGAAACGTTTGCTCCCACTATAAACGAAGAGCCATATAATGCTATAGCCAGTGGCAACTAAAGTATACATGTTTAACAAACGTCAACGTTCATTGCTATTTAGCTTGTTTGAGGCAAAAATGTAAAGAACATGGGCCACAGTTTATGATTTTTGGATAAGCTTTTCAAATGATTTAATATTTTTGGATAAACTTTTAAATTTATTTTTTTATAATTTAAAAAATATATCACATAGGAGGTGGAGCCAGCTCTTGACCGGAGCACTCGCATGCTTGCAGCGCTCTGTCTCAATGGATTGAAACCACATACAATTTAAGCTTTACCAGGGGTATTTCTGGCATACAGACTATCTACAAGGACTGCTCTACCTACGATGCGGAAAACTAAAAAATGAAAGCCGGACCGGCGTTGGCATTCTGCAAATATAAAACCAAAACGAATGTAGCGCTTAGATAGTAAATAAATAAATCACCTTTGATTAAATTGGACAGAGGATTTCCCCTTATATACTCAATATGGTACATTTGTTTTGGTTTTGTATTTGATGTTGGTGATGCAAGGGATCGCTTGAATGTATAGCAGCTGATTATTTAAAAGCAGATATATTGTGATCTAATTCTATTTAAGAAGCGCTGGTACTCATTTTACTATTCTGCAAATATAGGCTTCCTGTTCATAGGCCGCATGGCGAAATGAGGCCTGACATGGTGTTGGATCGCTGAGATTTTTCAGACACTTTTGGCTAGCTGCCGCTGTATAGAAAGGAGAATCTGGGCTTTCAGGGACGCCATAAATCTAACCTTTCGGTCAAGGGGGCATCTACTCCGGCCATTCTAACAATCCTCTTGGTGGACCTTCATCACAGCATACTGGCAGATATCTCCCAGGTCAGAGGACTTAGCATTGTGGAGAAGACTGCAGTGACCCACGGTGCACAAATTTCTAAATTGAAGAAACAGGTCGGTGACCTGACCATAACTCATGACCATCTGGAACACCAACTAGCAGCACTTTAAGATAAAATATAGTGGGAACACTGAAGATAATAGGCCTGTCAGATGATATTGCTATGCCTGAACTGCCACACTTGAACTAGACGGCATGTTCTGCCTGCCAAAGCCTCAGTCGAACACATCGGCTGCCTCTATTAATCTATTGATCAAATTTCAAAGTGGGCAAGACAAATCTGCCTTATTGCCTCTCGTGCATGACTCTACAACAAATGAAATCAATTTAATTACTTACGTGACGTGATCATAACACTATCTTGTATGAGATCATATTAAGGCTGATTTAATACAGTGTGTAAGCACTACAACATAACACACAGTCTGACAAAACAACGTATTATTCGTATGTTTTTGCGCCTGTCTTTGTATACATCTTGTATACCATGTTATGTCAAACATGTGTCTGCCTGTGGCATAAATAAATAATTAAAAACAATATTTTTTATATGTATATCTATATTATATAAAAAATATATCAACAAATTTAAAAAAAAGTTTTTTTCAGCAAAATATTACATTTCAAACGTTTAAACAAAATGTTTTAACTACTTGTCAAAAATATTTAAACCAAGGCCATGGTTGGACAGTGTGCAAGGCTCCGTAACACCTCTGCAGGAACTATGATTGGATGTTCTCAAAGGAAAACAGCTAACAATCACATATTTACAATTTAAATACCTTTATATTAAAACAGAATATCCACTTAATTGAAAAGAGAAGAATGGGAAAGCTAAGAACATAGACTGTGCAGGGTTGTGGAACATAAGATTATTACTAGAAGCGATGGGAACACCCAAGTAGGAATGATCAGGAAGAGATTTGGAAGGAAGGGTTCCATTACAGAATGTTGACTTGGGTATGGAATCCAGGCCATGACTAATTTCTCTTTCTTCATTTGCTTTCTTCCCTCTAGGTGCCATATAGCCAACTTAAATGGCGTATATTACAAAAATGGGAATTACACTGGTGAATATGACAACGGAATCGTTTGGTCCACTTGGCGAGGCTTGTGGTACTCATTGAAACATGTATCAATGAAGATCAGAAGACCCACATTTCTCGATGTGGGCAGTGGAACTGGCATAAATGGTTAATTGAACGTTATTGCCAAGGACAGGCACCAATTACACTGATGTCAGCTGAAATAGTGCAAAAGCAGCTAGAAACAGCTCCTGTTAAAATATATTGTTACCGGTATATTTTTCATATTATTTACTTTGCAGAATTTACTGTACAGCAAGTTCCAATATCTAGGAAAATTATACTAATCAGACAGGATATCAAAAGACATGTGAACTGAAGCTATATTTGCTTGTATGTGAAATTAAAGCCTTGGAATGCCCGTCCATATAATGTTTAAAACACAGTAAATGACATTAAATGTTATCTGTTTCCATGTGATTTTATATTTACTCTTCACATTAACAAGGTTAATCCCCTAAGGAGTGAAATATACAGAATTCAGAGTGAATTTTACACTTAAGGCCAAAAAAGCTGAGCTGGCAAAATTCTCCAAGTCGGCTATTTTTACATTTTAGCTATTGCGGCCCAAAACTTGAAATTCACTTTAAATTCCCCAAATGTCACACTTTCGGTAATAACTGTGTCTGAGAACAAATTCACACATGTAAAATAGGAAACCCAGTGTGTACCTCCTACGCAAACATTTAAACAAACCACTGTTACTGGCTTTTTTCAAGTAATTGTTCTTTATACACTAACACAGGGGTGAGCAACCAATGGCACCTGTGCCATGTACGGCACTTGAGGTGCCTTTGTACAGCACTTAAGGCTGCCATAGATAAACAGGCTCTGGCCTATCAGGAGTCCCAGTGGGACTTCAGATATCTGCTAGTGCAAACCGATCAGCATTTGCAGGTGGTGAGGGGCAATCCTCAAGTTACGCATTGCAGCACTTCCTCTCCTGACTTGTGAACGAGAAACCACACTGGAGTAAAGCAGCCCACAGCAGCTATCGCAGCTCCTCCCCTAGACCTGTACCTGGCCATCCCGGTCCCCACTGGACCCCAGGGAAGCCACACACTGCTAGCTATACAGAGCTGCAGTAGAATCCTTCCCATCATACAAATTATACACACATATACACACACACACACACCACTGACAATCCACATGCATGCACACAACCACACAAGCAGCCTCTCACATGCAATAACACATACAAACACCACCAAACACACAATGTGACATTTCATATACACACACAATTCCATAAGCAGCCCCCATACAGACCCCACATTCATTGGTATCATACACAATACCACCAAGTACTCATGAAAATATACAACATAACAGCCCAAATACGCACAAATACAATGTTACAAAGCAACTACAGAAACCATAAATTACACAAGCACAATACGGCAATATAAAACCTCAATTCAAAAGAATAAGACTGGCCCGCCAAGGGACGTCAAGATCTTGTTTTGGTACGGTGCTACTGAAAGGCTGCCTACCCATGCACTAACACCTTCACTACTTTTAAACAGAAAAAAATATTAGTATAAGATTTATTTGAAGCAAGGGATGCATAGCTAGCATATAAACAAAGCAAAACACTGCCATTTTGTGTACAGATTGCTTTTTCAGACAAACGTAACAATTTTCTTTTTTTTTCACTTATTTGTTTATCCTTTCTAGAAAAGATTTGGGGATTGAAAAGATTTAGTCAGTATACAGTGTCCTTTATTATGCAATATTCCACCCAGGAACTCATGAAGGCATTACTAGCAGTACAGCTTACTGAAAGTGGCAACAGAATGTCTGCATATAAGTAAAATTCCCACATACAGAAACTACAATTAAAATAACATATTTTTTTTTAAAAGTCTTTATCAATCTCTAGACTGCTAATGTAATGCTAAGAGTGAAGTGGTAGAATCCATTCAATTCTCTCATCTCCATGACAGTAGGAATGATTAAAAATGATGAAGAAATTGAAACTTCCTTTACTTTGTGGAAGCAGGGGAGCAGATATTTTCAGCACACCTGCAGTTATTAAAGCAGTGGCTTCTGGCAGAGAAATTTGTTCCTCGATGGGCTGGTAATCATTCCTAGCTTTGTGGACTAAATTTCGTTTTGCAAAATACCTTGAAGTAGAAACATTTATACTTGATTCTGGTAGTGAAGTCAGGGCAAGGATTTCCCCCCATATGCGCTGCCCACCATGTGACATCACAATGCCCAACCCATATGATCTGTCATATGAACAAACGCCAGTGCTGCACACAGTGTGTGTTTACATAAAAAAGCCTGCAGGGGCAGGCTATAGACACCAGAACCACTACATTAAGCTGCAGTGGTTCTGGGGACTATAGTGTTTCTTTAATGTGAGGTAAATTAGAGATTAGTGTCACTAATAATATACTAGATTGCCTACTTACAAGCAGATGAGGATGGTGATGGGCTCTGGCTGCAGTCTGGCTCCACTGGTCTGGGTAGAACAGGCTCTCTGGAGGCTGTTTGTAACTGTGGTCACAAAAATCAATGTTCTGGGAGAACGGGAAGCAGCTCCATTTTTTGGGGCCCTTTACATAGCTCAAGGGCTGGCCCCCGTGGCCTGACAGTGAGTGTGCCCATAAGGCCCATCCATAGAGGATCTATGTGTGCTTATGGAATGTAGAGTATAGGGATACCAGTTTGTGTGTCACGGAACAAAGGGCTATGATCGACGCAGCCGCGCCGATACGTCTAATAAAAGTCCCTGATCGAAACAGGAAAAAATAACTTACCTAGATCGCGGCAGAGTGCCGCCCGATCCTCAATGAAGACAGGTCCCGGCTGGTGCAGCATTCAAAGGGACGCTGGCCGCTGCGGTCCCGTTCTCAAAGTTAAAGGGCTCACTGCCCACATTAAAGATGGTAACGGCGTGTGTGTGACGTCACGATATCGACACACATGCATGTTTTGGGGTCAGGGGCCATGTAATAACCAATCACAGCACGAAGCAGCATATTTAAACCCTGTAATGCCTTTTCTCAGTGCCCTGTTGTGGTTTCAACTTGTTAGTTGTCAGAGAGCGCGTTCTTGGTATTGTATTTCTGGTTTTTGACTTTGGCTTTTGTTTTTGACTTTCCCTACTTCTGGTATCCTGACCCTTGGCTAGCTTATTTGTATTGTCTTATTCTGTATTCCCGACCTTGGCTTGTTATTTGACCATTCTCTTTTACGTTAAGTCCGGCCATTCTAAGATCTGGTATACGTTGTTTGTGTTAATATAGTTTTGCGTGTTGGGTCACATAGTAATCGTGACATTGTGTAGGCAATGCAGTGTCTGTGTGTGTAGTGGATGCAGTGTGTTTTTGTGTAAAGGATAGAAAGCAGTGTGTGTTTGTGTTTAAGGGATGTATTATGTGTAAGGGATGCATTGTGTAAATCTGTGTTTGTATGTGATGCAGTGTGTGTGTCTGTAAGGGGTGCATTGTTTGTCTCTAAGGGGTGAATTGAGTGTGTGGGTTTCTGTGTGTGAGGGATGCAGTGTGTGTGTAAGGGATGCATTGTGTGTTTCTGTGTATGTGTGCAAGGCATGCATAGTGTGTGTAATGGATGCATCATGTGTTTCTCTGTGTGTAAGGGAAGCATGGTGTGTTTCTTTGTGTGTGTAGGCATGCGTTGTGTGTTTCTGTGTATGTATAGAGATGCATTGTATGTCTGTGTGAGTGTGTATTGTGAAAGAGAGTTTGTGGGGTAGGATAGGGGCTGAGAGGGGAGCAGAAAAAATATAATATTTTTTTTTTCTTACATCTCCCTTTAGTGTATCTCATGCAAGCCCTGTGTTTGTCACGTATCCCCCCGTTTGTATGTCTCCTACATCCTCCCAACGTCCGCCCTCATGGACTCGCTGGCCTGGGCAGTGCTGCAGCCGCCTGAGGCTCTCTATAGGCTCTCTATAGAGCGCTGAGGCGGCTGCAGCATGAGGGGGGCTGGAACTCCTGGTGGCACCCCTTCCTAAGGTGTGCCTTTGGCGACTGCCTAAGTCGCCTGTAGGAAGTGCCGGCCCTGAGTGAAGTGGTTAAAAAGTCAAACATTGCTATGCTGAAATCAAGGGGGTTTAAATGAGACTGGGTTTTTTTTTGTTTTTTTTTATAGAATTTCAAATGTAAAATCAAAATAGCTGAACTGGAAACATTCTCCATGTCTGCTTTGCTTACAGTTTGGCTACTTTGAACTTAAATTAAAAAAATCACTTTGTATTAACTTTGAATTCCCCAAAATTCAAACTTTTGTAAATAAACCTGTAAAAAAAACAGTAAACAAGAATGGTGTAGGTGAGGGCGAAGCTTGAACCTCGACCTAAGCAAACATGCACTGCATGAGCGCCCGTTACTTCTGCCAATCTTCCGGGTTTATCTCCGGTTAATGCCTCAACCCAGGCACTACTACACTCTGCTTTGCTTGGGGATGCTAAACCTGTTGTAACTAGTAAAGTCATCATGACTCGGTGGCCTACAAACGATCAGACTGGGGGAAGGCGGCCGATTCTCCTTCTCCTTTGGTTGCCATACGGACTTGACCGGTGGGGGTTATCCCGGTCACCGCTGGACTGACTCATCTCAATCCTCTGTACCATGAAAGCGACTCACTATACTTACCTAGACGCAGTGGACGAAGCTAAAATGGCAGATGAGCCTCCTCCGACAGGACTGACACCCATGCTGACAAGCAGGACCTGTGGTGACTTCACTACATGTCTCCTGCTGAAACTAGAGGCAATCTTCACAGAGTTCTGGGCTAAGATAGAGAGGCGCGTTGCAGCTTCTCCTCAATCGCCTACAGAGAAAAACCGGCATGGCGACAGCTGGAGCTCAGGTGCACTCCCCCAGGACACAACTAGCCGGCAAGCCTCAGCTACTCTCCTCTCTGTCCCACCTAGGCTGAAGCCTACAGAGGTCATGACTCCCACGCATCCACCACACCAGCACGGGTCCGATACAAGCAAGACCAGGACCATGTGCTGTTTGCCACACAGGGAGAACTGGGCTTCTCTGACACCCCGAGTCCATGGACAGAAGATGCTGGCTCATGAGCATGCCTGGGGCAGGAGGGATGCCCTACCACGACCTACCTCTCTGCTGCCCACCCAGATCATGTGTTATGCTACCAAGCGCTGAAGTCGGTTGAAGCTCCGACCTGAGAAACCAGAGGGTCCACACAGAGACTATCTACTGAAACCATTGAACGCATCGTATTGTTTTATTCTGTTATGTTTATGTTACTCCATTGCCTTTTCTCCTATATTGTTTAGTGAGACAAATTGCTTCTGCGTGCAGTCACAGTGGTAATTTTGTTGCCTACAGCAAGCTTAGTTGTTAACAAGCAACTTACTTTCATTTTCTTTTACTCTATAAGCATGTTTCATTGCATCTACATAACTCTATGTGTCTAGTTCATCCTAATTGTCTAACTAGCGTTCCTGACATATATTCAGCGTGTTTTTCCAAGCATTTTCTAACTTTGTAGACAC